CCAAAAAGTCACTTTCATTCTTTTAATGTCACTGTGTCATATGTGACATTGGATAAATGATTTCTAGACCTTTTCTTCTATCTTATCTATTGTTTCCCTGTACCTATCTTAATTGGTATTCTTTATATTAAATACCTAAATCTTGCTTAAAGCTAATCCAGTTCCATGAAAAATCTTATAGGTGCAATGATTAGATTTATTGAATTTATAGGTTTCATCCTCTCTTTCCTTCTTCCAGGAGAAAAGAACTCTGCATAAATTTAGAAGCAGGGATTGGTATGTGAGGGCAGCCTCTTCTCTCCCCTTTTTCTTGGGAACAGCTGTCTGCAGAAGCACACATTTTGCCTTAGACATTAAATTTTTACAGGATACACCTTTAATGGAAATAAGCGGGTTAGTCTTTTTCATTGTAGAGTTAAGGACTTAGCTTATTATTGTTGCATACCTAAGACAAGGTTTCCAACAGCTTTATAAAATTCATATTTGGTGTTCTATATGCATGATCTTCTTTCATTATTGTTTCAGAACTTGGATAGAGAAAAGTGTTTGTGCTTCTTCTTGGGCATCTAAAACCCAACATTGCACTTTGAATTTAATAGTTTCAGTGTATTTACTTCTTTATCTTTTGAAGGAGACTCTAGGCTCCTTGATGCTGTTACTACAACCTATTTCACTGCTGAGAAGCCCTGTAATACAATGATTAAGAGCAATCTTTTTTTCTGGCTCTGCCATTTACTAATCATATGGCCTTGGGCAATTTACTTAACCTATTTCTGACTCTGTAAATTTGTTTTTTAAATGGGGACAATAGTACTTACCACACAGAGTTATTGCAAACATTAAATAAACTAATGCACGTTAAAATGACTTCCCATTGACTAGTTTCTAGGAAGTCCTCAATAAACGATGGCTGTTATTGCTGTTATTTTCTCAGCACTTAGAATTGTTCCTGACATGTAGTGAGCATTCAATAGATATATTAACGACAGTGGATTAAACTGAATTGGGAGGACTAAGCTTGCCTGTCTCCTCTATATGTTCACAAATTCTCATTTGATCTGCAGGCTGTTGTTTTCTATCTCCTGCTTCCTTTTCTGTAGAGACCTAGAAGTATATAGGAACAGCTTTTCATGATCTCACACACACAATTTATGTTATTGCTATTTCATTATACCTGTAGTTTTATTGGAAAAATATTACATTATTTGGGAAGAGTACTAATGATACATCATTGAAATCTTCAAATCTTTTAAGAAAAAGGATATTAGTTATAGTGTGCCAAAGTGTGTGCATTTGAAATTTGTTTCATATTTTTAAACAGTTTTAGGGCTGGCACACTTTATGAGATCATTTAGTTCTATCTGAAGACTATAGGATTAAGTAACCAATAGACTTAGTTCAAGACTTGAACTTCATCCAGCACTCTTTCCCACACTGTGTTATTTTGGAAAGGAATACTTTCAGCTTCCCATAACTGAAAACCTGACTGATAATGGCTAAATGAGTCAAGATTTATTTTTCTTATATATTGACATCTTGGAGGCAGTTATTGGTTGGTTTTGGCTACTGGCTCAGTGATGTTGTGACCTTGGACTGACTTTCCTAGATCTTACTGGCCCTTCTGACATGGATGCTTGATGGCTGTTGTGGCTCCTGGCACTAATACCCTTTCATGTTCACAAGCAGGATCTCTTTTCAGGCTACTGTCTCATCCAAAAAAAATGAAACTCTCCCTAGAAGCTCATCGACAAAACTAGGTTTCTTAGTAACCCCTACATTGCAGAGGCTAAGTCTCACCCCAGACCCACACGGGCAGTGGAATTTGGGTTTCCTCTGTGTGTAACAGGCTTGCTGCAAAATAAAGCAAAGAAAAAACGGTGAAGAAACTACAGAACACAGGAAGTAATTTTAGAAAGGATGGAGAGAAAACTCAGCTCTCTGATCTTAGGGATCAAGCTTCCACCCTGGAAAGAGAGCAAAAGAGCTCGTGCATGCTTTACTTATATGGGGGAAGCATCAAAGGCTTTCCATGGAATGTTCTTGGCCAAATAAATAGGAGGTGTGCTGTCCAGTTTCCAGTAGGTTACACCCCTCTCTGGACCTATGAGAGCGGTCTCAGTAGCCAAGCAAAGACAGAGGTCATGTGCCTTGTGCAATCCATTGAGTGGGAGGAACCACAAAATAGTTTGCAATGCCAAACCTAAGTCTCCCTGGCTCAAGGCTGAGTGAAGACGCTCAATATCAGCTCAAATAATTCACAGGTGGCCTCCACAGCTAAGCAAGCAAATTCTCTGGTCCAAGGGAAACGGAGGAGAGGAAAGTTAGAAATTTTCAGGTGGTCCAGTGCCAGTCAAAAATGTGTCCTCTCTATTCAGTATTCACTTCTATAACACTTTGATACAATGGATTCTAATATAAAAGTCCTTTGTGTGTTATGTACTACATCGGTGATTTCTTCTGTGTCTGGTACATTAGCCATCTGAAAGAATTTCCTATCTTTATCTAATATATGATGCTCCAAACCATTACCATAATCTTTCTGTATATTTATCATATATTTTAAATATAGTACATATAGTATAATTTTAAAAAATTATTGACAAAATATATTTTTTAACAGGATAAGAACCCACTCTACATTAACTGAAAATGTGCTTTCTCATAAAGTACAATTTGATGGTAGGATCATATCGAGGTAATTGTGATTATATTAACTTTTTAATTCTATGATTATAAAGGTATATTCTCTTTTCACAATAATGAGAAACAATAATGAGACTGTACAAATTTGTACTATTTAAGTGAAAAACCATGAATTTAGAAAATACATTTTTTAGGTGATAGCTATTAATCTGTTATAGAAAATATAGGAAATATGAAGTTCTAAGAAAGATATCTTAATTAAAAGTTATTTAAAAAGTAATTTAAGGGCTGGGGTTTGGTGCAGTGGTAGAGCACTTGCCTAGCATGAATGAGGTACTGGGTTTGATTCTCAGCACTGCATATAAATAAATAAAATAAAGGTCTATTGAGGACTAAAAAGTAATTTAAAATATCATTTAAAAAGAAACTTAGAAGTGAATTTATAATACATATATTACTACTAGAAGGTTCTATATTACTTATCTTAACTTCTATGTAAGATACTTTATGTACTTTTAATGGTTTTAGTTAACAGTAGATTATTGATGGAGCAAATGACAAGGAAGATGATTTTTGGATCTGATATCGCAGTCTTATAAAATTCCATTAATACATAATTCTGCTTGATTTTTTGTGTATATTTCTGGCAAAATGTGCATTTTAAAATTATAATACTTTTCAGTGATTTTAAGCCTGTCCATGAAAATAAAAGATAATAAATGCATGTTTTGAGTGTCATCTTGCAAATTCAGCATTTTATAAGATGTTTTACTTTGTTAAACATCTGTGTTGAATTAGCAATCTACAGCATGACATATCCATACTTATATCTGCATAAGGAAAGTATTTTTTTCTTCAGTCATTTAACTTGCAAACTGTGGTGTGGAAACCTATAGCTTCCCATAACCTTCCCTCATTGCCCAAAACTCAGGTTTATATTATCCCCTATTGAGATGCACAGTTTTAGTTTATAATTAATTTAAAAATTATTCTGTTTGAAAACCTTGCTGTCATTCTCTTCCAGAAATGGACGTGAGGCCTGCCGAGAACTGATTGGGTTCTTTTTCACTCATGACCAGTCTCTCACAATGTATGAGTATCGGCAATTTGGGAAAAACAGGTATGTCATCAAACATTGTTAGAACTCTCAAGATAATTATTTCTGGGAGAAACTGAATAACTTTACTTCTTTTTTTCATCTAACTTCTAGAACAAATGTGCTTCCTTTTATTCAAAAAAATATTTATAGTCATCAGAGTGGACGAAGAAAAGGAAAACCATACCAACTTGGTGATTTTTATATTGTAAGTTACCAGTATTGTGTGCAAGTGTTTAATACCAGATGTTGAATTATGTGGAGTCCCTCTGGGAGCAGAGGAGCAGAGCTTCTAGTCTTGAGGTTTTTTTCCTTTCCTTTTTATTGAGCAGGGACATTTGTGTGAATGGATTGATGTTTCCTCAGAGGGTTCTGCTTCTCAGGCCCAAATCTCAGTGGCCTGAATCTAAGCATAGCATTTATTTACCATAATCCCAACCATTCTACAATGTAGTTTTATTCAGGAGAGCTTGTCTTTTAGTACTTTCAAAATCTATACAGGGTTATATCCTTGGATAAGTGGCCACCTCAATAATATAAGCAGTAATGCTTCAGCTAGAGCCGTGTTCTCTGATGGTGCATGGTTTCCTCTGTAGAGGTGCAGGGGCCTCTGGACCTGTTATATCATTGGTAACCTGTTCTTCTTTTGAGTTTCACTTCTTGAAAAACTTCTGGCACTGGTGAAATGGAAGGGTTTCTTTCTTTTGGATCACAGATGCTATAGTTTATGTAGTACTTTGAAATGTTATTTATTATTTATTGAAGAGTTGGGGATTGAACCTAGATCCTTGCCTATCATTAAATTCACACATTATATAATGAATAAAATAAAGCACTGTCCATAGTAATCATTCATGTGATAAATATATATGCATATGCTAAACACTGGGTTTAGACCAGTGAATAAGTTAGATCTGTTCCCTGCTTTTGTGTCACTTATTATCTAATGAGAAACAAAGTCAGAAGTGGAGGGGTAATATGGGGCCAGATAGGAGGACTAATGACCCAGGTTTTGGGACCAAAGAATATTTCTTGGAGAAAGTGTCCTCTAACCTTAACTAAGAGTTACTTCAACTGGGATGGGAACATACCCATATGGAAAGGCTTCTAGGTAAAGAAAGGAGACAACTCAACCAAAGGACAAAAGGAAGAAAGAACATAGATTATTTGGAGAACTAAAAGTAGTTCAGTCTGGTTGGAATAGAGTTCAAGGTGGGGGTTGTCAAGGGAAAAGTCGAGTTTGTTGAAAGTAGTCTTATGTAAAAGAATTATGTGAAATTCATCAGGGAGTCACTGAAAGAAAAGAAGTGGGAAGAATGGGGAAAAGTGACGTCGGACGTTTATAATTTAGAGAGATCTCTCTGATTACAGTGTGTGGAATGGGTTGAAGACTGTGTACATGAGAGAAGTTGTGGCAACCTGAATTAAGCAAAAGGTTGTATCCACAAAGCTACTTAGAAAAATAAAACCGTATTCAGGAGGTAAAGATGTTTAATGCCCATCCCAAGATTGCAGGTACTGCCTGCTCTGAATTGCCATCTCCAAAAATTTGTTGTAGTTTATGATTTATTCTCACCATCCTCATTCCATAATACTTTAACCCAGGTGTGGAAATCTGCTTCCTTTTATGATTTCCATGAGAGAAAGGAAGGAGGGAGAGAGGGAAGGAAGGAGAAAAAAGGAAAAAGAAAGTCAGGCATACATGCATAAACCACATTTATGATTCCTTGTCTGTATGGCAAACATTTCAAAGGAGACATTTAGGGAGGTTTATATTGTAACAATATAAACAATTTAAAATTATTACTGAAAATTTCTATTCCTAAAATTATCCCTTGGGTACTTTTCTGTGGTAAAGTCCTTCCTCTCCATTTTCTGTCTCTTCCACCTCTTCCCACTCCCCTAATTTTCTATTTATTTATCTAGAAATATGCAGCCCTATTATTTTTTATTAGGGTTGGTGGGTGTATGTTCTTCATTCCAGATATTTCTATAGAACATATCTTTTCATTTTTTATATGTCTCATCAGATCTTTTTTCCTAAAACACTCCTTAAAAGAAATTTGAGTGCCAGTTGTTAAGATAATACTCATAAGAAAATGCACATGTACCCATAGAAACATTTCATAAAAGTACATTCATGTATATATTCACTCATACATGTGTAAATATAGCATCAGAACAGTGACAGACTGCACAGACCCTTATGCATGCATGTATAATTATACATACTTTCACTCACATATATAACCCTGCTACAGATATCACGTAGTCTCTTCAGTTGCTTAATGTGATATTATTTGCAGGAGACTCTACAACTTCTCACCTTAATCTTATCTTCTTTCAATTACAAATCCAGTCTAAACTGCCCTATCCTATTAGACATCCTTCCTGGATTATTATGACCCAAGTCACTATAATATTTCATTTCATCTCTCATAATTCTGCCTCCCACGTCTGCATTGCAGGCTCTTTGGATCTTCCTAATGGAAGATACATCCTCTTTTCTATTCCTGACAGTCCATCTATTGGATTTTATTTTCTGCTCCCAGAATATCACTTAATTTTTAAGTCTTTCTTAACTTTTGAGTGTTGTTCTATCATGAAGACCCAGAAGGGTAAAGGGTAAAAGAGGTAAAATCAGACCATGTTATCTACAATAGCCCTTCTATTCGTCTTCATTATTTGTTCAGCTTACTTTTTTCTCAGAGTTTCTGTTATCTGACATTATATTATGTGTATATATATATATATATACATATATATGTTAATCTATTAATTTTCTCTGTCATGAGACTATAACTCTGAAAGTAATCACTTATCTATCTGGGCTACTACAATGCATCTAGTGTCCTGACAAGTGACAGATTTTTAAGAAGCACTTGCATAAATATTTTTGAATGAATGGACTTATGTTTAAATTTTAAAATCTTTAAATTCAATTAATGCTTGAACCATTCTTATTCTTAAAGGAACACACACACAAAACACACTTGGTGCTGAGTATCAAACCCAGGGCCTCACATATGCCAGGCAGGTGCTCTATCACTAAGCTATACCTTCAATGCCTGAGGAATAACTTTAGTATTTTAACTTTTGTGTTAAGAGCACTAAAACAAAGAAGAGATCATGGATATCTAAATTCTTAGTCAGTGAAGACTACATGAAGGAATGTACAAATGCGAAAGGGCCGTGTTGGGCATAAGCTTATTTCCAGCATGCTGACAGTTCTGGAAGTGCAGCATATTGTTAATGAGTTTCCTGAAAGTTCTCACCAGATGTCAGTGAGGCTGAATAAATGTATAATTTTACATTTGAAATATAAGTAAAATTTGTCAAGTTTTATAGTCAAACATGTTTAAATCTTTACTAAAAGTGAGAATTATTATTAGATCTTTAAATTTTCCATCTTGCCTTTGAAAAATAAACAAAAATCTCTTTTTTTTTTCTGGAAAATGAAAAATGTCATGCTTACCTTTCTTAGGTAATATCCACATCTATGGAACTTTAGGTTCATGGCCTTAAAAGAGTAAGTAAAGTCTTGTGTTTTGGGAGACGGAAGTCTAATTTTAGTTCCTGGAATAAGTAACCAAGAAAATTGGGAAATTTTCACTCTACTAATTTTTCCACAATCTATTAAGTTCTCATTTTGATGAGTTATTGTGCTCATTTCTTTAGAAATGTGAAAATGGCCTTAAAGTAATCTTTTGTCATAGGAAAACTTAATAGAGATAATCTAACCTTTCATTTCATTTTAAATTTGTTTGATATTTAATTATAGATATAAGTCTACCTGTGATTGGGGAGAAAGCTTTGTACATTTTTAAAAAGTATATTGATTACTTTTCAGCTGTTCAGTGGTATTAATATATGTTTATGAATATAAACAAAATGATAAGATAACTGATCATTTCTGTTTGGCACATTGTAAGTTAGTAGTAGGCCTCAAAACTTTGGGACCAGATTCTCCACCCTAATGGTTCTGCTTTGATTTATCTACTTAACTTTGGATGTTAATTTGACATCTTCTGGGCTGCTGCTGCTTTTTTTTTTTTTTTTTTTTTTGCCATAAAAAGTGAAAATATTTGGGCAGTTACTGAAGTAAACATGAAGCTACCTAAAGGTGACAAAGGAGCTCTGATTGCCCCTAAATTCACCCAACTCGTTAGCTTGGCAGATCTGGAACCCATCTGCAGCCTTATCTGAGAAGCTCCATATCACTGCTTCCTACTTCCTTAGTTGAAAAATATTTTAAGGATTACTTTCATGACTGGTGTTGGGGAAATAGAATTTGAAACCTAGAAAATCTCCCATAAAAGTACTAAGGAAAATACTTTTATTATTGGAAAAGTATTGAGCCAGAATGTGATGCACATCATAGGCAATTTGGTAACAGAGTAGTGCAAAGACAGAAATCTCACCCTTTTATGTATCCAAAAAGACACAACCTATCGCATACAAGGAACTTGCCTTCCAGGAAGAGGACTTGACAGCACCATTTGTCACACATAGTTCATCCTAGAGTCACCTTGAAATTGGGATGACTGTCTGTGTTAGCTAATTGACTTTATCCAGAGAAAACAGACTTTTCATCTTTGTGACAAGAGGTAGTTTTGCACTTAGAGCAAGGTGCCTAAGGAAATCATTCTCCTGTCTTCTCACAGAAAGTGGGAGATAAGAGTGCTGTTGCCCTTGATGTTTACATTTCAAAAAGTGGTTCTCAGGTTTTACAGAAAGATTTTCCTAGGACAGAGAACTGGCAGTAGTCCTGTCTAATTTTCAAAAAAATTTATATACATCTCAAAGAAAGAAGGAAGTATCTCCATTGCAATTAAAAATGTTCTAAAATAACTGTTCTAAGAAAAAAGAAAGGAGAAAATTTCTCCCCTTATATTCAACAGGAAGGATTATTTTAAATTTGTGTTTGTCTTTATATTGGACATATGTATATACGAACAGAACTTTTAAATAATAATTTTCTTAAGTGGCTTAAGAATTTTGTTAGTGAATCTTGATGCTCTAATTAGGTAAAGATTAGATTTTATATTTATGAGATATCTGTCATTAAAAGACCAGGTGATAGAGAGATACATCAGTTAGAGTTTATCAATTCATTATATCTTTCTGTGGACCAATAGATCTATTTCTCTATTTAGGGATGTCATAATTTTGACAAATGGAACTAATTTTTCCCTGTTTTTTTTTTTTTCCTTTGGTGTGGTGCTGGGGATTGAACCCAGAGCCTTATGCATTGTAAGGCAAGCACTCTACCAATTGAGCTATATCCCCAGCCCTTCCCTATGATTCTTATTAAAAATTCTGGGTTTCTTACATTAGTGACTTTTTTTTTGTTTCCATGCTAATTAATTGGGAATATTTGTTTCTGTTTTTTCTATAATATTAGCTGACACCTGTGTAGTTTCTAAATATTCTCCAAATATACATTACCATTATTAAAATATACCATGTCACATATGATCAAATCAAATATTTTAAATTTGTATTAGTTGGATTTTATATCTTGTATACTTTCTAGCTTTAAATAGTTTACCTCTTCATTTCTTCAGGGTGCAACCTTGACATTTTTGACCTCTGATCACCCAAGCCTTCCAGAAAGCATGAAAGAAAATTCAATACTTAGACTTCGAATCACCAATATTGATCAAATAGCGTTGGATTCTCTGAAGTAAGTCCAATAGACATTTGCTATTTTGAAAGTAAGTCAAAACACATTTTTAAAATTATTTTAAAATAAGATTCTATCACAACACATTTAGAATTTAGTTTTTTTTTAAAACATAGCTATGTAACATATCTATCTGTGTTATCTGGCTCTCAAATACATTCTATATGTGGGGACAGTTATCATCAATGAAAAATTTAAAATATCCCATTTTATGTTAAAGATTACTTATCAATTTGCCTTTCTACTAACACTTTCATTTTACCAAATACTACCAAAGTATTAAGTTTTAAAATATAGAATGTCAGTCTATCATAATAGTTTTTCCCATAATAATTTAGTGTGGTGCTATTTTTTTTAGCATAAAACATATCTCAGGTTCCGTATTATAGTTTTCATCGATCAATTATATGCATGGTAAAAAAATAGTGCTGTGAATCAAAAACTGATTTTAAATGATTTTGAGTTTTTTAAATTATAGGAGTACACACACACATTACATATTCAAACACAGACATAGTGTTTTCTTGTTACTAAATATGAATCAAAATGACAATAATTTATGTGTAGTGTACATTCACGAAGGGCCATATCCCACAAATTGCCAGTAAGGAAATCCTCATTTATTGTTTCCTGTATTTCTAAAATTGAATTTATTTTGAGGGCCTTCTTTAAAACAGAAAGAAGTTTTAGCATTTTAAGTTAGAACTTTTGAGTTTAATAGTTTTAATTAAGTCTTTAAAGAACATTGAGCTAACCCTAAAGATGGATATGTTCACAGGTAGCTCTTGGAAGGTTTTAAAGATTTTATCTCAACTTTCCTAGGCATTAAAGCAGCAGGAAAATTGGGACTTGGTTGAACTCTATACACTTCCAATTTTTTTGAGTGTTTCTTTGGGTCTGGAACAGCAAAGAACTTAGATTTTCTGTTCTTGAGATTGTGAAATCCGGTATTTTTTTATCATTGTGAACATGTCAATTGCAGAACTACTTCAGTGGAATATGAAAGTGATATAATCAATCAAGAAGCCAATGATAGGCTGGTCTTCAAGACCATTCAAGGTATGCATTTGCACTCTATCTCAAATACTAGTTTTAATTTTCATCCATATTTGTTGCAATCAGTCAAAGCAGTATTTCTGAGATATTTGTTAATTTTTTAGCACCTGGTATATATTTCCTATTTGTTTCTTTAAAGCTTACATATTTATTTATTAAAATGTTTTTAGAATTTCTCCTGCACTAATTGTCCTGAGTAAATGTGGATCACAAACTTAATAGTTTTAGAAAGTGTGAGATAATATGAGTTTTATTCATGAACTAAATAAAATATAAAATTGATTTTCATAATACTTGTCTTATGCATTAAATGATGTCTAAAAAGATTTTTGGTAGTCTAGTGTAAAAGAAAAATTGTTGGACTAGATGGCTTCAGTTCATGTTTAGACTCTGCCATTTAGTAGACATATGACTTTGTGTAAATACCTTGTAACCTCTTTCTTCATCTCTAAAATGAAGATAATAATGCCTGTCTTTTAACTTTTCAGGCTTGTTGTAGGTAATGAATGAAACACACGCACACACACACACACACACACACACTTTGGAAACTAAAGCATTTTACAGATTTTGTTTTAGGAGTCCTGTCTTACAACTATTGCAGCATACTAGATTGTAATAGACAATTCCTTTGTTGGATCTCATAGTCTGGAGAGGAGAAAAGCATTAAACAAGTAATCACAGAAATCAAAAATACTTTATGATTTTTGATGAATGCTAAGATATTACTTAAAGATAACAGATTCACGGTAAGAAGGCTAGAAACATATTTGATGGCTGGCTGAGATTAATATTTGAACCAAATATTCTTGATGCTATTGTTAGTAGTTTTTTTCTATTTTTACAGTTTTTATCTCTATTGAATATAATGACATTTGTTCTTTCCTCCAATGTATTAAATAAATAATTATTTATAGTAAAGTTACCAATATTTTGCTAAGTAAATCTGTTCCTAACTGTAGTAAGTGAAATATTTGATCTATAAGAAGAATCTAGGAACCTAAGCATACAACCTATGAATTTCCAAAAAGAAGGGTTACTTTACATATACAGTTATAGGACAGCACTCAACAACCTTGATGCTGTTTAACATCTGAGTTTCAATTTGATGACTCAAACTGTTTATAAATTTTGAACTTTTTTTCTTTTTTAACTTGAAACATTTAGGCTATTTTCTTGCTAATAGAAGCAAACATGATTTTTAAAATATAACACTTTAAATTTTCACCACACAGTGGCGCTATAGATCTGGTATATTTACATGTGGTTGCATATATAATCTTCTTTATTAAGAACATTCTGTTTTCCAGAGGGTTTTGTTAGTCATACTCTTAATTTGGTTCAATATTCACACTATTCCCATTACATAAAATTTTATTTTCTTACAAGAGAAACAACTGCAGTTTGATACCTTTGTGCATAGTAACAATTGGTTTCCATCTCATTTATTGTTAAACAGATGTGCTAAAAGAAAAACTACGTAAAAGAGGTGTTCGTATTTTGACTGGATTGGGAAAACACTTTCAACAATTGGACAAGGAAGGAAATGGGCTTTTAAATAAGGAAGATTTGAAGCAAGCTCTGAAAGTTTTTCATTTAGAAGTGTCGGAGGAGGTATGTACCAAGGAAAGTTTTCTGCAGGGGAGTATTCTTGGATGGCATTATTCACTTCTCTTCTAAAATTTTAGTAGCTCAAGTAGACTTCTTCTTCTTGCCCTATTGTCTGTGTAAAGCCACCAGGCAGCAAGTCCTATTGATTTTTGAAAGTTCAATGTTCATTTCTCCATAATACACTTATTAAGCACTTAGTACCCAGGCATTGTGCTAAGCTCTGAGGAGACATACTGTTTACTTTCATGATCTTCATAATTGAGGAAAATGATTGTGAAATTATATATGTGTTAAGTAGAGATTATTTTGATACACATGGGATGGTAGCTAACTTTATGCCAGGTTATTGGGAAGGAAAGGGAAGATCATAGGAAGATTCCTGGGAGAGGATACATCCAGGCTGAGTTTTGAAGGATGAGGAAGAATTAACTAGGAACTAAGGAAAGAGGAGGACTGTGGATCAGGCAGCAGATATTTCATGAAAAGGAGAGCACATATGAAGGCGTGGAGGGGGAAGGAGTAGCCTATTCCCCAAAGTGTACAGACAGTCATCTTCTTCTAGGTCTTTAAATGCTACATCGTCTTCCTATTTAGGCCAGAGCTTTCTCTATACACAGCCTTGCTCTGACACTTCTGTCTAAAAGAACACCACCTTCTGATCTCTGAGCCTTTCTGTGTCAACTTTCCATTTTTATTTTTTCATGTCAAATTGTAATTATTGTCTGGCTCTGCCTGCAAGTAGAACTTAGGTCCCATCAGGGTAGGGACCAGGGTACTTCTGGTCCCATTATTTTTCTCGTACCTTGAACAGGACCTGGCATACAGCTAGTGCTAAATAAACAGTGCATTAGTTTCAACAGATGCATGTGTGGAAACAAGGAAAATAGAAGAAGAGTGAGAAATGAGTCTGGTACACTAAAATCTTTAATGCTAGTTTCTATTATATTCTAACAGCATATAAATTTGACTCACATCAGGACTTCAGCTAAAGGATTCTTTTGCATTGCTCTCTTTTGCTCCAAATGGTCTTGTTAAAGGTATAGTCTACTTTGTGGAAAAAACCCTGGAAATTCTATTTGTAAGATTCAGGTTCAAGTTTTAGTCCTATGGCTTTAATTATCTGTTCTTGGACAAGGCTTTTAACTTTTCTGGTTGACAAGCTCTGTATGACCAATTGATTGCCCTAAGAAGATTGCATGGAAGTTCAAATGAAAAAAATTACATGGGAATATGTCTTGTCAACTACAAAATCCTGTGCCCAAATGATATTGCTTATCACCTTTGTAACATACCTGCTCTTTGTTGTTGTTGTTGTTGTTGTTGTTTTAAAATGATGTTTAAGCTTGTGGCCCACCTAGTGGTACATACCCGGGATCATTCACCCTCACTTCTTTCTTTGGTAGATTAAAAATAAACCAGCAATAAGAAATTAGAAAGTCTTGATGTTTGTTTTTGATAATAACACAAGTAATCAATAAATGATAGAGAGCTTGACCCCAGATAATTTGGCACCATCTAGTGATTTTCCTGTATTACTGCAGTTCCTCCCCTTTTGATTGATTGTTAAATGTTTGATTAGATTTATGAGTAAAACTAAAGAGGATAACATATAAGAATGTGAGTAAGTTTTCCCCTATTTCATGTATTTTAAATAATATTCCAGTTATGTTTCCTGTCACATCACTGGAACCTGCTCATGGAATGATAAGCATGTGCAAGAGGCTTGAGAATAAGACATAAGAATCATCCCCACCCCCCAGGCCTATTGTGGAACTAGAAAGTATTTGTGGGAAGACATTGTCATTCTGCCTGATTTGAAACAAACAAACAAACAAATTCTCTGTACCATAAACAGCCTAATTTATATAGAAAATACTAGCAATGCATTTACTCCAGCTTTTTTCAAATGAGTAACTAACTTTCCATTCTGTATCATATCTAGAGGACATAAATTTGTTGCCACTTATGTAAAATTACTCAATTCCTGAAAATAACTTCTTTTAAGCTTTAAGATATATCCTTTAATTCTAGTATTCTATTGAGTTGAGTGATAGAATCTGTCTTCTCCTGTTCATATTACTCATGATTTTAAACTTCAAACTCATTTTCAATTTGATTGAACCAACACATAAAATCTCTGTAACGTACAAGGCGTTAGGATAGACAAAAGTATGAATGGGCTGTTGAGAGTTGAGGGGAAGAAGGGCAGTTGGAGACATAGTTTTTCTAATTAAAGTTTTGTTTGGAAAAAAATAGGAGGAAGTGGAAGAGAATATTTTTTGAGTATTTATTTGCTAGATACCTTACTAGGTGTTTTATTTAGTCTTGTTTAAAGCTAACGACTTGATTGAAACATTGATAGTGTACTTATCTGAGTTTAAGAAAATTCATGCTGCATTTTTTTTTATTATCATGAATGCTGTGAAAAGAGCATTCTCTTAAATAGTGCATTTGCCAAAGAAGTAACTGGCAATGACATAGTGTACAAACCAACATAAGGGATTTGTTTACTCAAATCACACCTTTCAGTGTGAGTTATGCAATAACATTAGACTCATTCACATCTTTACTTTGAAAGAAGAAGACCAGTGGGAATATAATTAGTGGTCGAGTGCTGTTGGAGGTGTTTCAGAACCTTAAGTAACTTTTGAATTGTCACAGATATAGCACATTATAAAATAATAAAATGTTCAAACCTAGTACATGGTAGCTTTATCTATCTATGAATTGAAGTTTAAGGGATTAATTTTTTACTAGAACATAGGCTTAGTTGCAGGGGTCAGGGGCTATACAGAGAAAAAGGGAAGATGTTGGTAAATGGTACAAAATTTCAGTAAGGCAGGAGATTCTAGTGATCTATTGCACAGTATGGTAACTGTAGTTAATAATAGTGTCTTATATATTTCAAAATAGCCAAAGATGGAATTTTAAACATTTTTCACCATGGAGAAATGATAAACATGTGAGGTGATAGATATGTTAATATCTTCATTTGATGATAGCCTGATTTGATTGTTCTACACTGAATATTAATGTAGAAACCATATTGTATTATACAAATATACAGAATTATTTGTCAATCAAAAATAAAATAACTCAACCATCATATACTTGTGAGTTATTGCCCCATAAATTGTTCTTAATTTTATAGAACTATTCACTTCAGATTTCCTTTAAGTGATTTTCATAATGGCTTGTTTGGATTTATATGTAACTTTTTGAATGTTCTTATTAAGTTATCTGCCTTTTCTAGGGCTGTAGGAGATGTAACAAAATATGACTATGACTGTTTTTTTATGACTATGTCTAACTTAGAGGTGTAACAATGAACCCTGTGAATATTTCTAGGATTTTGAGTCTTTGTGGCTGATTCTGAGTGGCAGTGGTGATGGCGAGGGCAAGGACAAGAACAAGGTAGATTATGGAGAATTCAAACGTGCCATTATTGGTGAAATGAATGAATACAGGAAATCATTTGTTCGAAAGGTAACTGCTAAGTGATCTTTTAAATTATTACTTTTAATATATAGTTAGGTTCATTATTTAAAAACTTCAACAAATTACCATTTAAAATGTGTCACATCATTGTATCTATAAAACATTGTTGGGTTTAGTAAAACAAAAATAAAACACAAATGTATATAGATTTACCCAGAATAAAGTAAAAATAGCTTCAGCATAAGTTTCAGAAAAAATTGTATAAGAGGGAAGGAATTTGAAATCAAATTTTGTTTATAAATTACTAACTCTATAAATTGCTGCTTCCATAAGTTGATAGCTATTTGACTTTATGTGTTATGAGATATCACTGAGCCTGGGTTTCCTGTCCCATGGAATTAATACAGGATTGAATGAGAAAAATATAAAATTCTCAGCATTGTGACTGTCCCATTGTCAATGCTCAGTACATGTTATTTTATGATGATAACTAAAAATGTTTCTCTGGCCTTTGTAATATGCATGCTGAATGATAAAATGAGGATTTTTAATAATGATCATACTAAATTAGAATTAAAATAGGAGCCCCGTGTTTATAGAAAACTACATATTACTTGTCTTCTGGTGACCATTTTAAGAGTATAACTTTGAGCAATATAATTTTCTTTTTCTTTTGTATTTGGGCCCCAAAAATATATATGTTTTAAAGTTAGCTTTGAAACAAAGCTTTTCTGTATAAAGTGAGATATATGATTATTTCAGGTATAAATCTCAAATAGAAATTAAACCCCGCCTTTACTGATTCAAGAGACACAATAAAAATGTTAACTAAAACAAATTCACCACATAATATTTATAAATTGGTTCTTATTTGTACTCTACATGTCCTGGTGATAGGTTTGAGTGTCAGGAGTAGAGACTGGTGATTTTCCTGTTCGTATATGTTGGTACTGGGAGTAGAGGGAAAAATAGGAGTTATGAAGTATTTGATTTTTTCGCAAGGGCTGTCATTATCAAAATACACAGACTGTATTACTGGAACAACAGAATTTATTTTCTTATGGCTTGGAGGCTGGAAGTCCAAGAAGAAGGGGTCAGCAGGCTTTGTTTCTTCTGAGGTCTATTCCTGGCTTGCAGTTGCTGCACTATTACTGTGTTCTCACATTGTTGTCTGTTCTGTTTGTGTCCCCCCCACCCCGCCCTTTCTCAATAGGAAAACTAGTCATAATGGATTAGGACCTACCCTAATGATTCTGTTTTAGCTCAGTTGCATCCTTAAAGGGCCCTGTCTCCAAATACAGTCACATTCTGAGGCACTGGGGGTTAAGGTTCAACATAAGAATTTGGGGAGGTGTGATTTAATTTTCAATAGGTACTAGATTTCTGTAAACTCATGAACTCAAGAGTGTGAATAAATAAAACAGATTCTAGTTTTGACTCTTCTGCCAATGTGATATGTTGCTTTGGGAAGCTTGTATGTTTTTATGCACCTCATCATATTCCCAGTGGAGTTTTATATATATATATATATATATTATGATACTGAGAGTCGTATTGAACTAGAAGAGCAGTAAAATAATTAACATTTCAAAAGGTAGTGTTAAATTTCAAGAAATAGGTTAATAACACTCATTTAAAGTTATTTCACTTTTTCATTGATTTTAGTGTAGGGATATTTGCAGGTTCACTTTTTGCATAAAATAGTCCTCCTGGTGATTTGTTTTGGTCATTTAGCAGTTTTCTAAGGGTCTTGGAGCTGGAAGTTGCCCAAGAGATGTTTTATCCAGCTCTTCAGTTTGCAGAGAAGGAAAGCCAGGGCAACAGAGGTTAGCTTACTTTCAAGGTTAGGATGTTAGAAGGTGGTAGAACTAAATATTTGAGTGTGGGTTTCCTAACATCTTGCTTCATTATCTTTTCCCCTGTACTTATGATGTTTCTTTAGTATGTCAATTTAGTACATTTTAAATTGTCCTGTTTATAGCTCAGAAAGAACCTACTGCAAAATAGATAATTAGGTTTTTATGTGTAATGATTTCATAGAAAAAAAATAACATTTCCCTATTTAGGCTTTTATGAAACTGGATTTCAACAAAACTGGCACTGTGACTCTCACAGACATAAGAAAATGTTATTGTGCCAAGGAGCATCCTCAAGTAATTTCAGGTAATTGTTATGAGTCAAAGTGCATTCGATTTCTAAAATGTTGGTTAATAAAAGCATCATCTTTAAGTTTAAAGCATTGACTGAGGAAGGAAAAAAAATAATTTTTGTTTGAACCAGAAACTTGAGAGCTATTTACCATTTTCATTTAAAAGTTCTTAGGTTTACTGTTTATACACGTTTCCCACTCCCTCCCAACCTGATATCCAGGCTGGCCTTGAACTTGTCATCCTCCTGCCTCAGCCGCCTGAGTAGTTGGGATTACAGAAGTGAAAGGATGCCCAGATTTGATATTTATAATTGATATAGAACTCTTATTTTATTTTATTTTATTTTTTGCTTAGGAAAGGATGAGGAATTTGAGTTTAAAAGATCAGATTTAGAAAATAGATAATTATATCTGCCAGTTCTCAGGGTTAGTTTTACTTTATCTGCTTATGTGTTTATTCATACTAGAAGGATAAAGCAAATTTCCCAAAATAATTCTAGGAATTCAGTTCCTATTTGTATTTCTCCTGATTTTTTTTTTACACAATTGATTTATGAATGAATTCTTAATTATAAATAAAGCATTTGACCGCCACTAATCTCCTCTTTCCATTACATTTTTCTTCAGAGAAGTAAAAGTTACTCTCATTTTATATATATATATATATATATATATATATATTTACATATGTATATTTCATAGCTGTACTTCTACTATAAATATCTAATACTTTTTGAAGATTATTTTTCCTGATTTGAAAGATATATTAAACATAGTGTTATACACTTTGCTTTTTATAATCAACAGTGTGTTTTGGAGCTATTTCCATGTTAATGCATATTGAGTCACTTTGTTTTTTACCTTGTACATATTATTATTTTCACAAATCAATATTTTATAATTTTCATAGCCTATTGGTGGGCTTTTAATTTTCTAATTATTGATATACAACCAATAAAGCAACATATATGCTTATTTATGAGTATAGGCTCATTTTCTTCTGATTCCTTAGATATCAAAACCTAGAATTAGTTGGATATCTAGATTTCCAATTTTAATTATACTTCCAGATTATATTGTATGATGATAATACTAGATTATACCACCATGACCTGGAAAATTCTATTCCTTCACGATTTTGCCAACAGTTTAACTTTTTGCCCATTTGGTAAGTTAAACATTTTTTTATTTGCATCTCCTTGATTACTAGAGAATATTTATTGACCATTTTTTTTACTATTTTATGACTATTGGCCATCTTTTATGAAGTTTCTGAATTTATCATTTAAATTATATAGTACTATTATTTAAAATTTTTGCTTTTTAATATTAAAAAGATACACTAATTATTTTGTTTTCTTATTAACTTCTGTACATGGTTTGTTTATTAATTTTAATTGGGGAGTAAAAACAGAAAAAAATAGAATTACTATTGAAGATTAGTGCTAATTATTACTGGTTTCCAAATTTCCAGTGATCTGTTTTAGGTTAAAATAGTTTTATTTGAAGATGAGTGTGGTGGCATATGCCTATAATCCAGCAGCTTGGGGGCGAGGAGGTGCTGAGTTAGGAAGATCTCAAGTTCAATGCCAGCCTCAGCAATTTAGTGAGGCTATAAGCAACATAATGAGACCCTGTCTCAAAATAAAATATAAAAAGGACTGAGGATGTGGCTCAGTGGTTAAGCATCCACCCTTAGGTTCAAATCCTGGTGCCAATAAAATAAAATAAAATAATAGTTTCATTGGATTTTTAGTGACTTTAAATGAATTACAGTTACTCCAAGAGAATTTCTAATAATATTTCCTGGAATACTTTTTACTCTTTAAACACATCATTCCCCATGTCTTTATGTTTAACTAGGCATACTGAATATCAGAACATAATAGTTTACTCATTTCAAAATTAGGTGACTTCATTATTGTTTATTTTTTTCTTTTTGTCTTCTAATAATGTTAAGTGCTTAACATTATTAAACAGAAGACATTATTAGTTCTATTTTGTGTCGTTGAATTGTGGAAGAGGGTTTTGCTTTTGTTGTTGGGTAAGCCTTTGTTAGTTTCAGAATTTCTATACTTGGACTTTGCATTCACATTAAAGAAGACTAGCTAGCAAGCTAAACACAAAAGAGAAACATCTGTTTTTAGAAAAGAAACACTCTGTTATCTATTATTGCAAACTATTCACATGTCCGTCTCTAGGGCAAAAGTTGTTTATGATTTACAATTAATTTCATTTTAAATCTTTTATACCACATACAATTTTATTTGACTAATATGAAATATTATGTTTTTTACTTTAAGTAATTAATTACATGTATTAAAGTTTAACAGAAATGGGATATCCCAAGTGTTTTTCTGTGTAATAGTATTAGATGTATTGGTTGTGGTAAATATTTTCTAATCTTTAAGAGGAGTTTAAGATAGTAAAATTAAGTTACATATGATAGCAGATAGGCACTTCCTATTTAGAAGATTTTAAGGAGGTATAAAATCTTTGGATATTTGAAGCATAAATTTAAGTAGGAAAAGTTTTACTTAGAAAAAAATATTGAACTAGAACTTATCTGTTCAAATGTATGAATGGTAAACAGGAAAGAATTTTCTCCTGCCAAAAAATTTATTCATTTATTTGATGCTGGGGATTGAACCCAGGACCTTGTACATGTGAGATGAGCACTCTACCAACTGAGCTACATCCCTAACCCCCAAATTTATGTTTTTATATAGATTATATTCTGATTAATTTTTAGCCTTGACTAAGAATCGATTTGTTCTCTATTACTCATGTATGAATTTAAAAGACAGAAACCTTCTTGATACCCTAACAGGTTGCATTCATTTAATTGAAAGGCACTTTACAAGTATTATGTTCTAAATACATTAGAGAAGCTCTGGTTTGTGAAAAAGATCCACCTTTTACCCTAATTTTGTTTACCTTGCTAGATAAATGATCAGGGGATATTCCCATTTAATTCTGTTATTTACAATACAACCTGACTTTAAAATATTTTAGAAAACCACAAAGATTCTTTTAGCCTTTTTCTGCTTTTTTATATGTACCCATTTATTTCCACTTATAATTTAACCACCTTCTATAGCTTCCTTTCCTCTTTAATTCTTGCTTCTTTATTTAAAATAACTTTATTTTTCTGTCATGTTCTCTGCTAAAATTCTGGAAATAGATAATGCAAGAGAAAGGGGTGAGGAGGGAGTGGCAAGCTAACGAGATGGAATTAATTCTAGCTCATGTTTAAATAAATTGGAGCACAGTTTTACCTATGATTTTGTATTGTTGAAAAGATTTTATAAAATGAATAAGCATTCCTTTATAATCATTATTTTACCAATTTTTAATAGAGACTGTTTCATAGTTGGTATTATTTTACAGGCCATTCCACAGAGGAAGAAATCAAATCATCTTTTCTAGAAACGTTAAAGACCATCTGCAGCAAGTCTGATGAAGTATCATATGGTGAATTTGAAGATTACTACGAAGGTCTAAGCATAGGGATAGCAGATGATGCAGATTTTGTTAACATCTTACGTATTCCATGGGGAATTTAGTTTTAATAATATATAGTGTCTTCAGCACTAAACATTTTATAGTAGAAAGGGATTGAATATAAAATATGATGAAACAGTAGAGTATATTTTTCTAGGAATTCCTTTATTTTTTCTAAAAAAAATTGAGTCTGAAAAGAGAAATATTGAGAAAACAGGGTGTAGGTGAGTGTGTTATGTGTTAGGTGCTGTGTACGTGCTCTCCTGTCTCAAGGTTTGTAAAGTAAGTCCTCAGTTTATTGTCTATCTTTGAGGTCATTTTTTACGAGTCTCAATAGATTAACTGTATGACAGCATCTGTCCAGTGACCAAGCTTCCTGTCCTTTACATACTTTTTCAATCCTCTGCCAGCATTCTCAATTGTAGGAACTGGAATTGTCTCTCAGTCTATAGGATTAAAACAGTTCAATTTGTTTTGAACATGGGAAAATGTTAAAGGATATTCGAGAGAACTTTTCTAAGAAGTATGTTAATAGATATTTTCTGTAGCATTCATATTTAGGTGATTGAAGTTTATCCCTACAGTGTGTGTTTAAACAGATTTGTCTTGTAAATTCTTGTCTTCTAAATTATGTACTGTTGTTTGTTCAAAAGAGCACAATGTAATTATTCTGGTGACACATTTGTTTTTTTTAATCTGTTTTTTTTTAACTACCATCCTTATTACCTTCACAGAATTATTATTTAGCTAGAAATAATACATTACAGCAGAAAAAATGTTCTCTTTGATTATTAAAGATTTCAAGAGTCCACTATTACCTACATGGGTCTAAGGGAAAATTTAGTAATTCTCATTCAAAATGTCATAGTGTATTTTGTGTCACAAATGAATGTATGGTATTATAAACATTTCTTTAGTAAATCAAAAGATTAAAAATAAATAAATATTATTTAATAGCTAGATGTATTGCAATCATTCTTTCTGAATTCTGTGTTCCTCACTTGACTCTGGAAAGATAGAAAGTAGAGAGAAATTTAAAGAGTTGTTTACAAGTTCATTATTTTAATTTATACGTTAAGATAACACAAATTAAAAAAATGTGTCAAGCAAAATAACAGTGGTTCAATACTGCCAACTATATAGTTGGCAGAATATGACTTTTGGCATATCGTTTCATTCACTTATACTTGGCAACATTATCAAAAGATTGATATGTGTGAATTCAATAAATCCAGTCAAACATTCCAAGATTTCAGGAAGTAGTAAAATTCTCTACTGAAATACCAGAAAGAAGACATGTGAAAAACCTTAAGTGCTTTTTTCACTGACTACATTTCTTATTTTTTCAATTAAGTAATTTAAATTAAAACAGTATATTAGAAGACATTTTGGCAGAAATAAATCTATAACTTAATTTGTTAGTCATTTTTTTTAAATAAAAAATCATTTTACTATAGACATCTTAAAACCTATATTCTTTTGTTTAAATGACTAATACAAATGGTGCTCAATATGTGTTTAGTGTTTTTCACTGTTAAAATTTTATTTAGTTCTCCTTAAAAAATCTATTAGTGGAATCTCATATTTTCCTATGAATATAATCAGAAAATACATAGGCTATCATATTGTGAATAAAGATGAGATACTTCTGGAATTTAATATGTTGATGTGACTATTAATATAAACCTCTTAATATAAATATTAAAATGTGGTTGTTTGTGGTTATCTTTACTTATGAGGTATAGCTTTTTGATAATAATTTCTTATTATTTTACATCCTTGTTTCCATGTAGATTTAGAAAGTACATACTCATTTTTTTGGTTTATTTTGTTATATTTGAATTGGAGGCACAATAAGTCATTGTTTTTGAATTTACCTTACTCCCTACACCCTTCTTTACCTTTAGTATGGTGAAATCTGGTACTCTGTTTAGTAGAAGAGCACTTAAGAGAAGTGACGTTTTCAAACATTCCATACATTCACAATATAATAATTGACTTTTCCTATTCTTAATAGTCTTCAAGATTCTGAAACACCTTTTGAATAATTTAAAGAAGATTATGTTAGACTGTTGTTATAAGAATTTAATAGTTAAATGTATTTTTATAGATCCTGTAGATATTTGAATTTACTGACTTGCTGTGGTGTAGAATTGTTTTCTAGTTAATCATACTGTTGATTTTGTATATAGATTTTACTATCCCTCTTTTTATAAAGTTTTAAAGAGTTTTCAGGAAAAACATGTTGTATTAGAAAGAAAGGGACATTATATAAGAATATAAGTTATATTTTAATGGAAATAATATACATTGGCATGATGGAGCAATTATAGTAGAATTAAAAATGTGTGTTCCTTTTTTTCAGGTTTATACAGTCTGAATATAACAGCTTAATGAACCAGTGACTGCATAGTCACTTAGAATAATGTGTAATTTTGATACAGCTATAAATACTATCTTATTTAATCCATTACTTTTGACTTTTAATCAAAGTTATTTTCAGTTACTTTATGAGAGAATTGTATTTAACATGATTTTTAAACAAATTATTTAACATGATTTTTGTTAGATTATAGTTTATAATGCTTGAAGAAATAAAAAATATGTAGTGTAATGAATTGTACTTACTACTGGGTTGACCAGGAAAGACAAACATGTACAGTGAAAGTGCTTAAAAAGTAGAGGGGCTGAACATATGTATATCTCACAAGCCAAGCAAGAGAAGAACAAGGGTTGACAGGAATGTATTATTGTCCGATAACAAGAAGAACCACATGTTATATGCCTCCATTTTTATTTTAAAGTTACACAAACTTTAAGGAAAACTTGTTTATTGGATTGATTCACTTAATTTAATAAAGAATAAATGCCCATATTGGAACAATTATTCATTTGGCCATTATTCAGTCAGTCATTTAAAATTGGTGGGTAGCACCATCCATGCAATTTGCCAAAGGCTCCGAGATATTCTAGATTTTTCTCACACTCCCAGTCAGCCTCAAGTTTATCATTGGTTACTTCTGAATCTGTATTTACTATTCTCAATGCTTACACCTTAGATTAAGCTCTTACCAGTCCTATGTGTGTTGGCCTCCATCACCCTGTGCCACCTCCTCTACCCTATTTCAACTCATTCTACATGTTGCTGGTCAACTGACCTTTTAAAATGTACATTATTTGTTGAATAACATTCTTCCCTGGTAACCCACATCTTGCAGAAAAAGTCAGACTTCTGACCTTAACATACAAAACCTAACTGATCTGGTCTCCCCTATCTTGTCTTCCTATACTCAGCTCCTTCCTTACTTTCTTCTAGCCAATCTCAACTACTTATAACTTTTAAAATGGATTATGAGGTTTCAAATCTTAGTACTTTCATACACGCACTGCTACTTTCATTAAAATGATTATCTCTATACATGTAAATTATTATTATTTTTTTGGTCTTCTAATACTACCTCTAGAATACTACTACTTGTCTTTGGGGGATCCCAGAAGTACACTGGGTAAACTGACATTTATCACTTTACACTATAATCATTGCTTTGCTTATGCTTATATTTCCCCCATTCAATTGCAAACTCTTTAAAGGTAGTAACTATCTTGTTTACCTTAGTGATCCTGATGTCTAATTACAGTGTCTGACCTGGGATAGGTATTAAATCAGTATTCGCAGACTATGTGTGATTATTAAGCAGCCATTGTCATAGTTCTTGAATATGAACACTTTTGGATTAAAACACTTTAGCACAAACTATGTAAGTAGTATAAATGTGCTACTTAGTGCAAGATTCAACTAAAGGGACAATAAATTGCCTTAATAAGGAATCCATTTTAATTGGGAGGAATGTTTTAGTGATCTGTTCACAGAATGGTTAAGTACCATAAATTATAATGCATTGTGTATTTTTAAAATAATTTAAAATTAGATTTATTAATATTTTTCACCATAAAAGTATTACGTGTTATGGTTTAGATATGAGGTGTCCCTCTAAAACTCATATGTGAGACAATCCAAGAATGTTCAGGGGGTGAATTGGATATGTTATGAGAGTGTAACCTAATCAGTGGATTAGCACACTAATATGGATTAATTGAGTGGTAACTGGAAGCAGGTAGGGTGTGGTTGGAGGAGATAGGTCACTGGGGCCTTGCCTTTGGGGTTTGTTATTTTGTTTCTGTTGAGCAGAGTTCCCTCTCTGCTTCCTGGCTATCATATACTGAGCTGCTTTGTTCCACTATGCTCTTATGCCATGATGTTCTGCCTCACTCGGAGCCCAAAGCTGTGTAGTCAGCTTAACATGGACTGAACCCTGAAACCTTGAACCAAAATAGTAATTTCCTCTTTGAATTATTCTTGTCTACTCTTTTGGTCACAGAAACAAAAAAGCCTACTAAAACATTAAATACATGAGGTGATGGATTTGTTAGCCTGAATTGATCTTTCTACATTGTAAACATGCATCAAAACATATCATAGCCCATAAATATGTAAAATTATTATTTGTCAACTAAAAGCAACACAAAAAGAATATACAGACTGGATTTTAGCTAGCATGGTGGCCACAAAGACTCACTGCTCAGGTACTACCATATTCAATTCAACTATTTGGAACTCAGGTAACATCTGATGCCGAGCTAACTAGACTGCTAAACTTAGTAAATTTTATCCATGAAAACAGTTTTGGTAGAGCCTTAAATGGTCTTGCATCCACCTGTGGATTAGAACAACTTCTGGTTGCCTGACAAACAATAAGGCAGCCAGATCCTTCCCCTAGAATGTTGCTGCTGCCTCCTCCTGTGAGCTTCTCATACACAGCAGGGCTTGGAGCTCTAAAAAGGAAAAGCTGCTGCCTTCTTGCTGAGAAATGTTTGCTTAATAAACAGACACACAGAATTTGGTTCAAAATGTATGTCATTATAACCTGGCAATGAGGGAAGTGTAGCTAATTCTCACCTATGTCAAGGATTTTTGGGGCAATCATGGTTAACTACTAAAAGAAACCTTTTAGTTGTGTGTTACTAAATCAGCTTAAGTCAGTTCACAGCTGCAGTTCTGTTAGACGTGGCAGTCAGCATGACTTACCCCCAAATGGCACGGCTCACTGTCGGACATAGGGGGTTACAGATTCAAACACCTCCGGGGCATACTTGATATAACATGGGCACCAACTAGGCATAAAGCAGTTCAGGAGGCCTGCCTGTGTTGTCCCACGGGAATAATAATCCACTACTCTGAAACATGATTTATGAAGGTATTATTGGGATGGAAATTAGAATATTTCATATAAAAATTGGAACAATGAAAGATTCTGGAGATTGTATAAGTTGTGAAAATGTACATCTTTAGATTTCTCTTTTTAATCTTTTATAAACTGATTTGTATAGTTTTTGGATATCGAAGTAAGGCAGAGTTATTTGGAAGGACTTGAACAAAATTACCTATCTAGTGACAAATCTTAATGCAGGAGAAACAATCAAGTTTCCTGTTGTGTTTATTTTTTTTTTCAAGTTAGAATGGGACTTCTGAGACGTGGATAATTGAGTTTTGATACAAAATGAAAGTATTTTTACCTTTGCAGCTGTATGCTGAATTTCCTGGGATTTTATGATGATAAAGCCGATATGAAAAACGTAACTGGATGTCAAGGAAATCATTATGTGTCACTTATGAAATGTTGTACATTTATTCAATAGTTGAAGAGTCTTTTACAGAAGATTTTTAGAAAACATATATTGCCCAGGAAAAGTAATTTTGAGGAAGCAGTCAGATGACCATTCCATCTGGAAAATGTATGTGCTTATATTTATATCTTCATTGAAATGTTGTTGTAACAGAATCAGATTTCAAACTTGAGCACTCCTATAAATTAGCTGTTTGAATCTGGGAGGCTGCTTATCAATAAGTCTCTATTTTTGCAACTATACTTGATGTGATTATTGAATAGATATGAGCATCC